TAAAAACAGAAACTAAACAAATCCAATACTTTACAACTAAACAAAGCAATACTTTAATGTATACTGCATGTTATCAAATGCAAAAATATTTAAAAGTGCATGAAATTGTTACATTGGCAACCTACGAATATTCATTGACCTTGATATGCTGATGCAAAATTCTCTGCTACACTATATACAAGTACCCAGACCGATTTTTTAAAGACCTATTTAACGGGCTTCTACCCCACCATGCTCAGACAGCATATAACACCAAATTTCAAAATTATAACTGTGGAGGAAGGAGTGAAAGGCATGGTCAAAGGCATAAGGAAACACTTAGTTCAAACAAAAAACCCACCCCTACCAGAAAGCAAATTACCTCACTATTTTTGCTTTTAAAAACTCTCCAAATTTTCTGATTGCTTACAAATAGAACATCAAAAGCCACATCATGGATCTAGATCTAGTTCACAGAACGTATTGAAACATGAGACACATTAACGCTGCAGAATTTCCATTTGGTGGAAAGAGGTACAAAGATGGAAAAGAGGTGCACCAGGATGGAAGGGAACAGTTTTCCCAGAACCTGGCGCACAGAAGTGCCAGGAAAGATCCTGTTCTACCAACCACAATGTGGCCGAGCCAGCAAGCCCTGGGAACTCAACCCTTCCCTGAGAGCAGCTGAGCCCACCGCAGGTGGAGCAGGTCCCTCACCTCACCAGGTGAGGCCAGCCAAAAACAGGGGCCACAGCAAGGAGCTCTGCAGTTCAAGGACAGGGACAGGAAACTGCCAAGGGAAGGAAGGAGCAGAAAGTGTGTCCTTGGAGGAAAGAAAGCACGCAGGGCTGAGCACAGAGAGAGAGAGCAGTGAACACTGAAACGGGCTGTCCAGAGCAACCATGGAGCTTCCCTCACTGGAAATACTCAAGACTCAGCTTGACAGAGCCCTGAATTACCTGATCTAAGGCCCTGCTTCAAGAGAAGCCTGGCCCAGGTGAGGTCCCATCCTACCTGGACATTTCTGCAACACTGTCACTATGCCTGTCATTTCAAAGATGAGACCAGAGACTTCCAGGACCTGGGGTCCCAGTTCAGCAATGTTCTCAAGTACCTGTGCATCTCCAGTTACGTTCTTCCTTCCAAAGTAATATTGGCAGACTTCAAATTAAACATATGCTTTGGAGTTCCTCTGTAGTTTGGGAGTCACACAGATAATTCTTGGCTCTGTTCAAACAGTGTCCAGATTCTTCTGAGCCTTCATTCATGAGTACAACTTCTAGTCTCCTCCCTCTATATAACTTTCAGTTAACACTTGCAAAGCAACTGCAGACTCTCAAAGATAGTCACCGAATTGCAAACAGCCACTAGCACTTAACAACTTTTGTCCTGTTATAGTCAGCATGCAAGGAATTTTATTTTTCTTCAAATTATGTAATTTTACATAAATGCTTGCAGTAAGTCCCCCATCAAACAAATAATACACAAATATTTTGTTGATGAGCCCGAGCGACCATTTACAGTCACATTCCATTTCAAATTCTGAATTTGGCAATTGTGCTATTGTAATTAGAGGAAAAGTAGAGGGAACTTTAAGAAAGAGTGATATGAGTGATATGGAGATGGACTTACTTAAACAGAACACCTGTATGAGTATTTCATTCAACTGCTTAAGGGATTTTTTGTTGGGTTTTTTTCTTAAGAGAAATAACAGACTGTATGACAAGCTGCTGCCCCCCCCTCTCCCGCCCAGGGCATCGGGCTGCCCATTTCTCTGCTGTACAGCAATGAATTTGCTCATTGCAACACACCGTAGGTGTTCTGTCAGCACAGTTTTTTTGCCTCTGGGTTTACTTGAAATAGTACTGTACCATGAAGTAAAAGTATGTATTTGGAAAATTTTGCTCTTTCTCCTGGTTGGGGCTTTGGAGACAGATGGACAGCACAAAGCAGAGAGGGCTTTATCAGGAGCTTGGAACAGCAAGAATACCTGTGAATCAGGAGGAGAATAAATACAAACTGAAAAGCAAACATCACTAGATCTGGTGCTCCAAGGGAAAGCAGAAAAACTTGGGAGACAGAAGCAGAATTGGTCAGATGGGTCAAGCCTTCCAATCAAGCCTCACTTTCTTAAATGCTAGCTGGACCCTCATCAACTCTTAGACACATACCCAGTGGCACAAGATGTTATTTTTACCCTGATTTATTTATTTATTTTAAATACTTTAATAGCTGTCCAGTGAAGACTGAAAACCAATCTTTTGGGAATCTTGCTTTGCAGAAGGATTACAGCTTCACCATTTTTGCACCATAACTCTTTGCAATTAGTATATTATTTTAGTAGTCCTTCCAGAAAATTACATTCCAGAAATAGTGCATTCAGAAGTTATTTTAAACACCTGAACTGGAAAAAAGTCCATAGAACAAAAAATTTTTCTGCTGTTATTTGAGTCTTCAAGACAAATAATCAGAAACAAAATATATAAAAGCTTTCTTATAAATGTATTCTATCTTTCATTATCAAGTCAGTCTTCCTGTTCCTAACATATACTATAGCCTACAGTTCACTTTCAAGATTTAAATATTAAATCCATATAAACAATACAGCATGACTAGTGATAGTATGAAATTTGCATGTTAAGAACAAATTTTACTGTGCAAAAACTGAAACATACTTTCAGCTAAACAGTAGCAAACCCAGTATAAATTATATTAAGAAGTTAATCCAAATAAGCTTTAGTAAACCGTTCACCACAGGACTGCAAATTTAGTTTCCATTCCACTCTTTGCTCCCTCTCTCATTCCTTGTCAGAGGCAGAAAACTCACGCCACACAGAATAAAACCAAATTTCCTTTCAGATGCTGACAACTAAAAGTCAACAGAATAGTGTACAAATTTCTACAGAGACTGCTTCCATATACAGTACAAAGAGTCACAGTATTTCACAATTATGAAAATCATCAGGACTAACATAACAATAAATTTTCTGGATTTTTTTTTTAATTGCTGAAGCAGAAGTTACTTTTAAGCATTTATCTGAAAAACACATAGGACATTTTACAGTCAAGTTTAAATGATTCAATACACATCTTGTCTAGCTCAACAAATTCACAGTACTTGGTTTTATAACAAAAATAGGAATCTTGTTTAGCTGAATAGAATGTATTGAAGATGCTTCCAGTATCATTCTAAAATCTTATTTTAATTCTGCAGAAGCTGACAGCTTCAATATTCAAATCAACAATAGGAGAAACTGGTTCTATGAAATCCAAATCTTTTTAAGTTATTCCTCAGGCTTTTCTGAGCGAAGTTCCTGAAAGTATTCTGTTTCACAGAACATAATCTACATTTCCTTTAGAGATAAGAGCAAACTTTATCAAACATAATAATATTAGATGATACTGAAAACAACATTTGGATTTTATGTCCTGATTCTCACCTATCTTCACTATAAGCCTGACCTTAGGACTGAGGCGTAGATCTCTGTGGGCAATAAACCAATGACAGATTCACCAGCAGCAGGCTAAATAATCACAATTGCTATTTTTAAAAAATCTGCTCCTAGTCTTTTTTGTTTGTTTGTTTCAGTTTGTCATTTTTAAATAGTAGTTTATGCATTTGGTAGTAGCTGATTTAGGCATTGTACAACCTGGTGGTCAGACACACAGAGATAAACAAACTGCATCATGACCCTCACAGTTACACAGCACGCTCTGGTTAACTCCATCCCAGCACACATGCAAAGCCATGCTCATTAGGAACATGATTTTGCAAAGTCAACATTAAAAAAAAAAAAAAAAAAAGGAAAAAGGAACAAAACCAACTAAGTTATTTTTCAAGTGTCAAGAAAAAAGGAACAACGGTGTTACAGTACAGGAAAAGGGCTCAAAGGCAACAGAACAAAGGCTGCTAGTATTAAGAAGAAAGACGAAGACCTAGAATAAGCTTATCTAGAGCAAGACCTGAAACCTATTTTCTTGAAGATGTTATTATCAGACAATCACGAGGGGGAAAACTGATCTATATTTCCCTTCCACCCACCCCAGGCATACACTGAAAACTGTAAATCAAAGCAAGTTTGAAGAAAGTCATCTTCCACCCAAATTAAGAACTTTAAATGCAACTTCCAGAGCTGGGCATAGTTGCAGTTACGTCAGAAATATCAAGTCAGAAAAATCTCCAAACTCTCCATTTAAAGTATAAAAATATGGAAACAAAACACTTCGATTGTTTATGACAAATGAAATTGAAGGTTATTGTAGATAATTTCCTTACTGTGAGGTGACATGATATTAAAGACTAATACATGAATAAGCTTTCATTGAACCTCCTCAAAAACTGAATGTTACAAGAGTAACAGAAATCTTGTTTTGCATTAAATACCCAAGTAGCCAACACAAAGGAGAAAAGAATGCAAATTTTGAACACAATACCCCTCCCTCATCCAGATATAAACCACTGTAGTCAAAGCAAAACTTAAAGGTTCCTAATCTTCAGAGAATGAAAAAGGCACTGAGATTCAAAACTGATTTATAAAAAACAAACCCAAAACCGCAACAAAACAACATCCCCCAAAAAAACCACAATAACAAACAAAAAACCCAATAAGCAGCTTCTAGTGTTCAGTCCCAAGCTGTATATATTTAAGGAAATTACAGTGTAAAAGTATTTTTTTCATAATTTGATCTCACATAAAGCGTTACTTCTTAATTATTTTTTAATTTGAAATTATCTGTATTATATTTGATTTTAAAACCATTAATCAAAGAAGCAGTCATTTCCTTGGCTTGCAAAATAGCAGGTGTTGCATGTAAGTTACAGAAAACTACCACTAATTCCCACGTGCAGATAAATGCCATGCTGCTTCAGAATCAAAGATGTTATCATCACATCATCTCAAGAAATGAGATTACATTCATATTATGCTCCAAGAAGGAGGAAAAAATAAATCAACATATTTCTAGCAGATCAAACTGTGACACAGGTACTGTATCAGTGACAAAATGCCAAGAGAACTAACCTGTTCAATCTCCTTTGTCTTAGTTGCAATTGCTTTTGAGCGGCCAAGAAGCTGGCCATCCTCATATAATTCTGTACTGTCCGTTATATTTGTTTCTGTTTCCTCTGTTTGTTCAACGTATAATGGAGCTGAAGATCCAGCCTTAAAAAAAAAAAAAAAAAAAAGCTTTGACAGCAAAATAAAAACCTTAAAGCACGAGAGCAAAAATAAACCCCCAAATACAATCATTCAGTTAGATATGGCTTTGCTTATCAAGACTATTAGTGAAGTCTTATTGCTACAATCTAACAGATACGGAAATAGGGGTTTTAAACATGTAGAAAACATGACAACATAAAAAACCTGTGACTCAGTCTTAACTGTCTAAAGACAATGATGTCAGATAACCTTTACTTGCCCTTCCACTGAGAAGGAACTTGTATATTTATAGCACCAGCTAGCAAGAAAAATCCACAGTGGAAGCAGGATTAGTTTTCTGAGAAAGGATAAAAGTTACAAAATCAAAGGTAAATAGGCATCGACAAAATCAAAATGCTGTCAGAAAGAATTCGTGCAGCATTCAAGACCACAGGTTTAATATTAAAGGAACAGAGATACCTACTGTATAGCATAACCAAACACACACTTAGAGGAGTCCTGGTAATACAAGAAATCTAACTGAAGTACCAAAATTGTATAAGCTTCCCTCTAAAACAGAAATTAAGACAGTATCCCTGCCCCAAAGAAAACAGACTCCCACTCCAAGGACTCTACATAGAAGATGTAAAAAGAGAAGAAATTACCACAGCGTATTTAAATCCAATATTATGGAACAGATTTGTATAATGTAGTAAAATATTTTTTGAAGTAAGATTTAAAATTGAAGAAGATAATATAAAAATATTTTCTGTTATCACAAATAAAGAGGTGGAGAATCTTAAGACTTAACTAACATAAAAGAGAAAAGTATTAGACAAAAAGAAAAAAAGAAGCTTAAGCAGTCCTATGAGCATCTGCTCAAAACTTAGCAGCAATATAAACCATTAAGATTGCATCCCAAGTCTTGTGACTGCAGTAAATCATTAAATACCTGAGAGGGAGTAAAGGCTGCTAAAAGGTTTAGTGCAACACAAAGTTCAACTATTAAGCACTATGTGAGATAACCTGGAAATAGTTAAAAACGTTTGCAATTCATACATGACTGCCTACTTTACTAATCAAGGTGAGAAGTATCCTTTCTTCTAGGACTCATTCTGAGATGCCTCACCTCCTTCATTAGCATTCCTGTAGCACACTTTCTTAGTCAATAGAATCACAGAATCGTTTTGGTTGGAAAAGACCTTTAACATCATCAAGTCCAACTGTTAACCTAACCCTGCCATCCCACCACTAAACCATGTCCCTAAGTACCTCGTCTACCCATCTTTTAAATACTTCCAGGGATGTGGACTCAATCACTTCCCTGGGCAGCTCACTTCATAAATCATCTCAGACTCTGCCATAATCAACTTCAACTGTTTCATTTTGAGTCTGTCTTTATTTTGAATCTTTTTGCCACTGCAATTTCATCTGAGGCACAGAAGAAGCTTTAAACAACTCTTCTCCATACGACCCACTCTGTTCTTTCCTCCCTCGCATTACCTTCCCTTCATCAAGAACAGGAGTGACATTTCTCTTCACTGTTACTCTCCTGAACCTCTCAGAAATGTCCGTGCATATGTTCTCCTCCATATGGCATTCATGCTTAGATCAGTTTGCTGCTTCTTCTTCCTCAATCCAACCCCCGCCCCTTTTTTTTTTTAAAAAAAAAAATTTCTTTTTTCTGGAGGGAAATAAACCAGTTATTTATCCAGCTGGATCTTCCTGTCCAGTATCAAGAAGGTGTTGATGCACTCAGTTATTACATCAATGGACAGGACTTCAAAGTTCAGGTACATATGGATCCAGTGAGTTTATTTCTCTAGTCTAGCCCTCAGGTTCCACAAGTGTGAAATACAAGGAGGAAATCCAATGCTTCCCAAGATGCTTTCATTTTCCCTCAAATTATTTACAAACAAATATAAAACACAAACCCATTAATTATAAAGTTTAAGGCACCTGACTTTGTAAAGTTTTTGGGTTTGTAAGAATGCCTCTAAAGTCGAAGCAAAGTGGAAGTTGAAGATGAAATAGTCACAGAACTAAAACAGGCTGTTTTACAAAAAGACATTACGTGACATTTGGTTTGTTTTAAATGAAAAATACATCTTCCACTAACATGGCAGAATCCAAGAAATACACCCTAAACAAGGGCAGCATAACAAAACAAAGACTGAAGAGGGCTATAATCCTACTTCAGTATAGCAAGGGATAGAAGACAAGGAGGGGCAAGAACAGATGGGTGTGAACTGGCAATTAATTAGTGTTGATTATTAATGAAATAAAGGTTCTGGGCGGAAAAATAAAAAATATCTACCCACTGAAGCACCAAGGCAAAAGCTTAATTTTCAATACAGAGGAGGACTGCTTTCTGAAAAGGAACACAGGGCATGGCAGGCTGACATGGCATGGAACTGAACTCCATAAACCAGAGTTTCTCTTCCAGTCTTGTGTTTTACGTGCACACTCATATTTTGACTGAGAAGTCCCGTGTTAATTTTATGGAGTTCAGTAGGCACACATACTTACACTAGTGCAACGGAGAATCCCTGGGAAACCTAGAGCCTTATTTTGTCAGTTGTAGCTCAACAAGAATTCAAATTATACTAACAGAACAGACTCTGATTTTTTTTATTTTTTAAAATAAATAAATAAACAAATCACAAGGCTTTAGTTTCCCTCTTGCTCCCTTTCAACAAACATTTAATAGCACAGGCAGACAGATTCCGAGGTAAGTTACAAAATGTGCCTTTCAGAAGAGCACAGAATAACAAGAGTCTATTGTTGTAACGCTTTAAAACAGATCAATTAAAACTCCAGTCTTACATCATACTCTGTTATTTCAGGTAAATTGCTCTCATCGGCCTTCTCTGATTTTTCGGCTGCCCACTTGCTTGCAGCTTCCGCAAGTTCCTTTTCCGATAGTCTGTTGCTCTTATCCAAGGCCTGTACAAAAACATTATAGCCAAGGTTTAACATGAAACATATTTACACATGGCAAAACACCTTCAAAACTAAAATAAACAGTTATTCAGATCCCCCAAACATTTTAAAATAGGAAATAAGGAAGCTGAAGCAATTTCATTTGCTGACTGATTTCTTTAAAAAGAAAAGTGGGTAGGGAGAGAGCAGAGAAAAAAAAAGAAAAAAAATCAATTAAGTTCAGTAAAATGTTAAAAAAGCACCATACTTTCAGAATCAGTTTTGTTAAATCCATGGGACAGAGATAACAGAAAAATTATTTGAGACCAGTTGAGTTTAAAGAGACATGGATCAAATGCACTCTAAGAAGTCAGATACAACTGTGGAGTGGTCTAATAATTCAATGTGATTTTCAGCCATAAAAGATTATAACAAATTTAAACTAAACTATTAAATACCATGTAGGGCGTAAAACCTAAGCTAATTAGGGACAAAAAGGATTTTATGCATACTTTAAATGATCAGAGCAGCTTCCATTATAATTCATTATTTTTTATTTGGGGGGGAATATTGATCATTTATAACAGAGTCAGTCATGACTTTATGGCCTTTTAATCTACCCTTTTCAGATGGAAACACCCATATAAATAATATTTAAAAAATGTTTTCTCTCTAAGACTACAGTTTGGCTTTTATTAACAGAGCAATGACAAAACAATGACAAATACCCACATACCAAAACGATTTTAGGAATAGCTAGCTTTATAAATCTTGTTACCACTATGTGGGTATTTCATTTGAATCATCTATACGTATAGAAGCATCCATCCAGGAATCTATACAACTCTAGTATTAAAAACTGCAACACTAAGGTGGATATCTAAAAAAGATTAAAAAATCCTACTGCCTGAAAGATTGTCACAATTTCTACCCAATGCCTGTTCCATCTTAACAAACAGATGGATAAAAAACAGCAAACAAAAAAATTACTCCCCGCTCTTATCGTTAGTTCATTCCAAATTACATAAATTGCCAGAGGAAGCAAATACTGTGACCTGTAATAAGACTGCTTCATCTTCAGACCTTTTGTGCTTACCTCAAATAAAATATCCAAACACCTCTTTCTGCTCTAGTACGGCATATGTATACAATTCACAGAACCCTTCCAGCATTCTGTGTCATAAAGGCACAACTTTTATCTGAATCCAGAAGAGAAGTGCAAAACAATGTTCAGATAGGAATTTCTCTTTTCTATAACTGTAAATTACAGAATTATAACCAGCAAAATCAGGAGGTGACAAAGTTCAATATGCAGGGTACGAAGAGGGTTCTGAAAAGGGGTAATACAATTCATAGAATAATTAGCCCAGCTTACCTTTCCAAGCTGCACAATTATTTTTACACTAGTCTCACTACAAACTATCTGCTGCCAAATTTTTTTCCCCCGTATGTTCTTATTCCCTATAGCATATGTGACTTTTACCTTTAACCTAACTTTTCCCTAGCTGCCAAAATATCTTGTATTGTGGTACTATTATGAACCTCCCCCTTTCCTCAAATGTAGCTCTGGCCAGTACTAACAAAAGAAAAGGTAAGTATCTTTGTCACCAACAGTCAGTTTTGCACGAAATGAAGATAAATAAAATCTCACATGCCTTACAATTATTTCCGCAAGCCGTAAACAGCAACTAACCACTCTAGTAACTACTGGAATACAGCAAAAAGAATCTGTTTAATTTCATCTCATTAAATTTAATTCTATAGGTTGCATGTGCGTAAATACATATGAAAAAATCCGGAGTGCATTTTATGTAATAAAATAATGGTATTTCCACAGATACACTAAAACATATTTACTGGAACATATTTACTTAGGCTGCAAACTTGCAAGAAATGAACAACTTAGTATATCTCATAAAAACCAGCCAAACTTCTCTCCCTGCCTCAAAACAGCGGCGTAGTCTTCGTTTTTTACCTTATACATGACATAAAAAAGCAAAACCCTGTCAGTTTTCTGCTATCTTTGCTGGGAAGCTTTCCCTGTCTCACACATCTGCCTTTTGCTCTAATGTTGCATACAGCCTCCAAGGCTTGCAGTCCAGACAGCTATTAAAGAGAAACACAAAAGATTTCATGCCATAGTCAATTTTAAACAGGTGGTTAAAATCAGATAACACCAACATGTAATAATTCACATGCATGAATATGTAACAAATTAATTATAAGACAGGTAAGAATACCTTTCCAGATTTGCATAGCTACTACAGTGAAAAGAGACATTGCTGCAGAAGCATATACCTTTAAGTATTGAAAAGCTAAATTATAAATTAGGGCATTGAAAGTTTTCTCCTTTAATCTAAAGTATATAACTAATTTCCTAAGTCTGAGCAGATTGTATGATCCTGGCCCTAGAGATGTTCATCATATTTTGCCAAGACTTTTTCTATCGATATTTCTGTGTCAGTGAAGCACATAGATCACTTAACTGGTCAGCGTAATCCAGCCATCACCCCACGAGGCTCCACTGACACAAGACAGTACATTACAAGCAGATGTCAGGACTTCAAGAGAAAAGCAATAAAAGGTCACTGAAGTACTTCCATTTCTGTAGCTGATGCATACCCAATAAATACTTGTGTTGTCTGGGGAAATGTTTTCCATCAGACAGAAGGTTTCATTTTGTGTAGCTTACATCAAGTGGATATCCACTGCCAGCAGATATATTCAGACTGCTAGCAAAAAACCCACTACAGCATAGATCAGACCTGACCGAAGAAGAAAGCAAAACATTTAAAGAATACTTTACAGTTCAAACTCACACTGCATATTAATAAGGGAGCAAGAGATTTTGCAATGCCTCCTTGTTCTCCAAGGTTTGTATTAAGTTTGTATTAAGATCTGGTATTAAGCTGTAGTACACCGAGTCTGTAAGCAAAATAGGTGAACTACTTATAAAGTTTATTTTATAATCCAAATCAGCGTAACTTGTGCGTAACAGCTTTTATCTTACTTTCCTTATTTACATTGCTGAAAGTGTATCGCTTGCCTCCCCCCTTAAGGACATTGGCAATTACCTAATGCCTAGCACAGCAGTTCTAAAACAGCTGCATAAGGGATAAGTACTCAGAATGACATAGCACAACCGAAGCCTGATTTTTTCCCCACCTAATTATTTCCTTCAGTCTCACCTTCTCACAACAAAAAGTACCTTTCTTTCTTCCTTTTTTTTTTTTGCTTAAGCATTCCACTGCTTTTATTAAAAATACCTAAAGAACCAGGCTAGTACACCGTGCTACTTAGGGCAAATGCTACTTTTTAATAGGACCTTATTCACTTAGAACAGTATAATGCATTGTTTCTTTATTTCTCATTAAAGTATTTCTCAACAATTTAGAGAAAATACTGCTGTGGAGGTGTTCATTTTAACCTCAAATATAATTTACAGGCAAGCAGTCTGTGATGTGAAAATACTTTTGCTGCCACAGGACAGCCAGAACAATATTGAATGCTTATTGTTCATTAGTGTGTTGATTAGCCTGTCCATTTAACTAATTAGTAAGATTATGCGGTTGGTGCTCAGCCCACAAGATTTTTTTGATGGGAAATTAAACAGCATCATTTAGAACACAGAATGGCATTTACCAAACTATCTTGCAATGTGGCTCCTTTCCCAAGTAAATGTGATCATTCATGCCACATCCTCGAGCAGCCCTGCTTCCAAGCCAACTCTGCTGTTCACATTATCTTCCCTGTCAGTCAGGCACTTCACTACACTGTTTCCAAATCCAGTCACAGCTTAGGAATCACTGAAGGATGGAGTTCAGTGCAAGTACAGGCTTGTCCAATTGATCTGTTGCTCCTGAAAACTGCATCCCCATTTTTCTCCTTGCCATTCCTTTCCTAGCACGCTCCAGACTTTGGAAAATGACAATTTTAAATACATTAAAAACTCCCTCCTAAAATGAGACAATGAATACAGAATAAAAAGGGTTGTCGGTGTCATCATTAGATACACAGCATTATGAGCACCTTCCTGCCAGAGAAGGGAAACCTATCCCCTGCTGGATTGCAGAGCAATTCAAGATGCTCTTTTCTTTAACAGCTGCATAGAGTATCCCCTTCCAAGTGACGAAAAAATCCAACAACAGTGAGCAGACTTGAAGGCATGGTGAGAAGCACTGGAAAAGAAAATTCACCTTTGACAAGGGTACTGCTGTGGAGCCTGAAGGTGATGCATCTCTTGAGGTTTTCAGTGATTGAACTGATGTCCTCTCTTTACCTATAATTAAGAAAAAAATAATGACTGTAAAATTACATTAAAGATAAACATTGCAAATATACTTATTGGCTTAGAAAAACTGCAGTGAAATTCACTCAAGTCAGACGTGAAATCTACCTGCTCCACCATCTGATAAGTATTGATGACACTTTCTTGTCTTTACAAAGAGAGAAAAGGTATAAATGCATTATTTCACATATTATTTCACATAGGAAAACCCATTGTCCTTTTTTTCAACTTTAACTGAAAGGGTGTATCAATATGATTTGGCAAGATTATGTGGTTTAACTTTTTAGTATTCCTGCAATAATATAAATGGGTGAAATATTAGACACCAGTCAATCACTCCAGGAAACCAGGCAGTGTAGCAACTGGTTTAGCAGGCCACAGTATGTTGAAAAGCCCTGCCATGGCAAACAGTCCTGTATTATATCAACCACAGGCCAGATGCTCTTTCTATTATCAGTGTTTTTTCTTGTAAGAGTTAAGAATCAGCAAAATGACAACTCAAATTCACTGTGCTAATCACAGTCTGCGCAGAGCCTTGCCGCAGACCAGTTACAGGCAGCCCGCAGCAGCGGAATCGGTTGCAGTGCATACTACTAGTTTTCAACCTGTGGTCCACGGATTGCGTCTAAGGGATCTGCAAAAGGTAAATATGAAAAGCAAATGTGTTGTCAGTATGCCTAAATTAACTAGACTATTCACACTCACTGGGAAATGGTTGACTGTTCACAAGTGGAAAACATTATAGACTTACCTTGGCTTCCATTAAATTTGTATCAATACAATTAAGAAAGGGATGAATTAAAAAGTTTAATCAAACACTTACGAAAATTGGGATATAAATTATTTTAGTAGAACTATAAACAAATACGGCTCTAATTTAATGAGTCAAAGCAACAAAGAGCAAACATGACATCTCACTCCTAATAGCTGAGCTGTTTTCTTCTTTTACTCAATGCCGTAAAATAAGACTGCATCGTGTTGTGTATTTTAAAATACCACTACTTACACAAGAGCGTAAGGAAATGTCTATGCAAAATGCATACTTGTAACAATAAGAAATGTTTAACAGGTATTTGAGAAGTTGG